AGCTAGGGAAAGAATCTTGCAAGCACAGAACAGATGCATTTCTATGTCTTCTCCAAGCCTAATCTGATTATTTTAATCTATGTATCTTAATATGCCTCTCCAGTGTTCTGACTATCTTACTTCCTTTGAAGAATGCTTCTGAAGAGAATTAATACAAGCAATCTTTGATAAAAGTTATCTGCCACAAAAAAAAACAGCAAGGGCCTTCTGGACATAATTCAATTATCAAAAATTCTAATAGGAAATTTACAAAAAGATCTGGAACACTGGTGGGCTAAAACATGCTTTAGAGCCAAAGGCATGGCTCAAGTGGTAGTGTCTAGATAGCAAGGCCCTGATTTCAATCCTTAATATTGCTCCCAAAACAAACAGACAAAACTCCCCGCAAACCGAAAGTATATGTGTTCTTAGCTGTTGAAATAACTGGGGAGAAAATCTGTTAGAATATAGTGTCCTTTAAGCATAAGAAAAATGTTAGTATAGTAGAATTATTTGAGAAAACATAAATAGAAAAAAATGTTTTAAAACTACCAAGGCTTAAGAGCATTTTTTCATAAAAGGTTAAAATCATGACTTTGTGCAAATACAAAAATAAATACACGTTTTCAATTTTCTTCAAGCTTACTAATGAGTGATCTGGTTAGATGCTAAAACTGGCTAAATGAAAATCCAAATAACAGACACATGAAAAGTTGGGAAGGTTGAAATGAATAAGCAAATGCAAGGCGCAGCTCAGCTTTTTTCAGTCAGTGCTCCATGACTTATACTTTTATAGACAAGAACTATTTCTTTGATAACTCCCTTTAGGGGATATTGCAAATCACCTAAAACCAGGGGGTAGTAAAGAACTCTAGAAATGCTGTTTTTTTTTTAACATCCATACATACCTTATGATAGAGTTGATAATTAGAAACAAGAGGCGAGCAATGATAACTAAGAGAACATTTATAATCTTGACAAAAATTATGTGACTGTGGTCTTTCTCAAGCTATGAAATTTTCCATGGCATATTTTCGGACTATATTTGATCAGGAGTAACTAAATCTACAGAAAGCAATCCATAAATAAGGGAGACTAAGCACTGTTATTTACAATGTACAGAACTAGAAAGTAGCTCTCTACAATGAGGATTAGCCAATAGAAAATGGCATGAAATAGATGGCAGTGCACAGGTCCCCATGAAAACATACTTTTGTTCCAGACATGGATCACTATCGTATTCGCTTATTCTCTTAGTCTGGTACACGGTAGATTGCTCCATAAATACTTGCTAAATGGATGAATGTCTACTACGTGTCAGATATTAAACTAGGCCCTTCACATATATCATCACATTTAATCTTCCCAACAACTTTTAAAATAAACATTCCCATTTCTCTTCGAATAACCAACTTGTGACATGCAGTTAGAGGTGTCTTAAAGGTCGGGGTAAAGAACAGCTGGAGAGACTTGACTCAGACCTATAATCAGAAAGCCCCCCATCTTTTTAATTTTTTTCTTGTTTTCCTCTCCATTTAAGATACATTGTTTTTATTTACCACCACTGCACCAAGTACTTCTAAATCACAGGATTTTTTAAAATAGGTTACACTGGCATTCCATGCTTCCTCAATGAGCACACTATTGAAGCTATGTTTTAGGAAAATTAAATAAGTAAATAAGTTGAATAAATAAACAGCTCTCAGGAGAATCTAGGTAGAAATAAGAGACCAGAGAAAACGCTTGTTTGCAGTCTTGCAGATTGGGACAGGGTATCACCAGCCTAGCTTGTTTTGTTTCTGCCTCGAGGTACTCCTTTCCCAATTTTGCAGGATGATAGAGCTAGATGAATTCAACAATGCGCATGCCAGTGATTTTGTTTACACAAAACCCAGGACAGGACTTAGGATAACAGCAGCAATTCCCAATCATGATATGCTTCCAGTGACTTGGGCTCCTTTCACAGATACCCTGGCCGGGCGGGGGCGGGGGGGGGGGTGTGTGTCTATAATCATTTCCTTTACACAGGACAGCAAGCTGAAGTGAACTAAACAGCTTGGGCAAGATTGTGGATCAATGCTGCAGCTCTAGACTTGCCCCTCGTATCCTCCTCTTCTGGCATCTCCCTAAGTCACTGTGCTGTTTGCACAGTCTGTTGAGGTTGGTTTTGTCATTACATGTTAAGTTTTTACAAGTATCTTAACTCTGCTTCTATGATAGCCTCTATAGATCTGGGAATTCCCATAGCTTCCCACATCATAGGGCTAGTAGCGATACACTGGTTCAAATCTATGAAGTTGTTTTCTGGCCATTTTGGAGTTGGGGGTATCATTTGATTAATTAATACCTACCCTGAAAAAGGCAGAGAGATCAGTGAACAAAAATAGAGGTTTTCTCAGGATTTTAATGTCAAAAAATGTGGAAAAAACAGATTGTTTAAATAGGGATACAGGCTGACCCATTGCAACAATGAGATGTACAAGACGCTATGTCGAAAAACGAACTTTAGGGGCTGGGAAGGTGGTTCAGTGGTAGAGTGCTTGCCTTGCATGCCTGAGGCCCTGGGTTTGATTCCTCAGTACCACATAAGCAAAAAGAAAAAGCTGGAAGTGGCGCTGTGGCACAAGTGGTAGAACGCTAGCCTTGAGCTGAAGAACTGAGGGACTGTGCCCAGGCCTGGAGTTCAGGCCCCACGACCGACAAAAAAATTGTCTATAATTTTGTTGCTTTAATAGCCGGCCTATAATATTTAATCTTCATGAAACTCTGAGTGTGACTATTATCTTCATTTTGGACGTAAGAAAGTAAGGTAAAATAACTTGTCTAGGTCAGTCAGTTTGTCCAAGATCCAAAGATGGTTCTGATTAACCAATACTAGAGCTGTTTTGTGGAGATTAATCGTGCTACCCAAACCAGTATGATAACTGCTTGTGACATACCTCATTCTTACACTCGTTTTCTTACTTAGAGGACCTGGGAAATGGTGCCCTTCAGCAGCACTGAAGATCTTGGTTCTGAGGGGGTGTACTGCTTATCCTGTCCCAGCCGTTGTAAAACTCACCTTTCCCTCAGTGGGCATGGCATTGTTCTCACTCCTCATAAAGGAAACTGCTGCTTTCAGAGAGGCTGAGAGGATTCTCTATCATTACTACCACTCAGGCATCAGGGGACATAAGAAGCCAGTTTGATCTGATGAGGACAGCTGTCTTCAGGTGAACGGTTACTGACTCACTGCTCTCTTTTGGTGGAACAAGGGCTTGTCTCACATACTGGAGACGGGGGGGCGGGTATAAAAAATAAAATCTTGACCCTTGTAGTCTAGGTTAAACACCCTCAATGCCTTCAGGATTTGAGGAATTTCATCTGAAGGACCATTAACTGTAGTAGAGAGTAGAAATACAATAAAGGATGATTTTTACCTTGAGAGAATTTCACTGTCTTGTTAACTCAGCTGGAGCTACACCTGGGTGTGTTCTTTGCCTATTTTTACATCAACGTGGACAGCAGAACCTAAAATAATCTAGTTAAGAATTTCTTTTTTAAACATCTAGTGCTAAAACCCACTTTCCAAGTACAGTTTTTTTGTATATGGGATATGTAAAACAGACTTAAATTGAACTAGTTTGTGTGGCACGCCCACCTCAACCGAAAATACATCCTGGTCCCTTTGGTGGCCATGGGCTCCAATGAACATACTCTGAAAATCTGCAACTAAGTTCTGCTCTAGGGAGGTGAAGGATCAAGCCCTGACTGCAAGCGGCAGAGGAACTGCCAAACAGACACGTTTATGCTTAATGCATTCCTTTCAAAGTAAGAGGAGTGACTTACTCACTTTCCCAAACAACAGTTTTCTCTCAGCCCAAAGAAAAGATCTGGAAGGGATTCAGGACTCTCAACATTGCTTCCTCTTTAGAGTCCAGAAAGTACTCTTTCTCAGTCCTATCTTCCATTGCGGCCTTTGCCAAGCAGGTGAGAGGGGCTCACACAGGAAGGCTCTCAGACATACGCTTACTACAGCACTCTTAATGCATGAGGTGTGGGCACATTTGCTTTACCACCCATCCTATCCCCTGGCTAAGAGATTTGATCTGAAGTAGCTTTGCTGCCCTATATTCTATACTATTTTCTGCTTCTTGATCTCCACATAAATTACACAAATATCCTTGATCTAAATGGAATCTTCTATTTCCTTGTGCCCTTCCCGAGGCTTGAAGTCAGGGCCTCATGCTCTCCTTTGGCTTTTTCTGTTCAGAGCTGGGACTCTACCACTTGAACCACACCTCTACTTCTGGCTTTTTGCTAAGTTAAAGGGAGACAAGAATCTCACAGACTTCTCAGCTCTGTGTAGGCTTTGAATTGTGATCCTCAGATTTTAACTTCCTGAGTATCTAGGAATACAGACGAGAGCCACCAGTGCCCAGCTTCTAAATGGAGTCTTAATTTGTGCCTTCAAGGTATTCATCCTGGAGCCCTGAGCTATTATGTTTTACTTCAAAACCTTGAACCATCTCTGAGTATGGACGTAAGAGGGTTTTCTTCAGGGAAGTAGATGGAAGGACAGGAATGGCAGAGAAATTATCTACTACAGTTTTCAACATCACTGGATACACCTGCATCACTTACCAATTAAAAAGTCATTATGCTTTAGCTCAATAAGAAAAAAAAAGATTTTCCTGTGTAGAATATCGTCCTATATAAATCCTGTTACCAAGTTGGTTTTTAAGAGTTTAATTATTTTGGCCTAGTATTTGCCTGCTCTTGTTTCCTCTAGGACTCCCCCACTCCCCCAGCCCCCAGATATCAGTTAATGTTGCATACTCAAAATCCAGTTTCCTCTATGAACCATTTAATGGTTGTTAAGTATCACAGTTTGTGTGGATCTGGAGAGTATCATCGCCCTTCAAGTAAACCCATGCCAGAAAATTACAGCAGGAAGATGCTATTTTACTGTGAGGGTGTGGGAAAGGTCACTATGCTGGGGCGGGAGTGGGGGACAGTATCTTAGATACTGCATACTTTACCCGTTATGTCATGTTGTTTGAATGACTCGCTGTAGATCTGATACTGATTTGGACAATGTTTCTTCAACCATTTGCAGACATCCTGCTGGGTCCACAGAGCCACTGGCTTTGACAGCTTCACCGTAGCTGACTATAAATAAAGAAAAAAGAAGGTCTGTTAATGCCAGCCTTGGGCCTGGAGAAGCAGTACCACCTAATGTCCTAGAGTGTAGAAAGGCTATAGTGTGGATTCCTTGAAGATAAATCTCTGGCTCTTGTCCTCTTCCTCCTCACCTCTGCAAAGCTCTTCAGTGTTGCTAAAAACACAAAGAAAAGGTGCAGGAGGGGAAAGTCATAGAAATTAGATCAATTTTTGAGTTATCACTACTGGGAAAAAATCCTTAGGAAGCACTGTTTTCTACTAAAGAGCAAAACAACAAGATTAAGGAATTACAAAGTGAGTTATTAGGTTTTAAGGGTAAAATAGCAGTCCCCATGTGCCTATTTTTGTATTCCAAGAAGGTGCCCATCTCTTGTCTTCGACACCCCTAGGACCTAGAACACCATTTGTCCCAGCAGGTGCAAATAATTATTTCAGAACTGAATGTTATAAGATGTAGTTACCAGCATACTAAGAAGTCAAGTCTCCCAGGGCGCCCTGGAGGTAAGATGGCCCTGCAAAGCCCAGGAACATTAGTTATGCCACAACGGAAAGTAAGAAGTCAATTCCACATACCTGTGAGGAATGGTAATAAGATCATGCAAGTGGTAAGGACTTTTACCACTCACTGGATCTCTTACGGGAGTGTTCAAAAGTGGGGGACCCCCAAGCGAAATAAAAAGCTCCTCTTTGGAGAAATAGTAGATGGTAGATACATTTATTCATAAGCATAGGCCTGTGCCAGATGTTGGTCTCCCTCAAGATCTCAGGAACTGGATTCCAGAGAGATGAAAGCTTCAATGTCAGTAAGTTTTATCCTTCTGGGTTAGTGGAGGCAAAAAGTGGAGCCAAAATGTTCGTAGTTCTTTAAAGATCTTGAGTAATACAAAGACTGGGCCTTAAATATCAAAGTCCTTTACCGGCCATCAGATTCTTCCCTTCTTCCCTTGTGTTCCCTTCTGTTCCTTTCCTTTCCCTTCTCTCCCTGACCCCCTTTTTTGGAGACAGGTCCTTATTATGAAGTATAAGATGACCCAGAACACAACTATGTGGCCCAGGCTGGCCTTGAACACACGATACTCCTGCCTCAATCTCCCAAGTCCCAGTATTACAGGCAGAAGCCATCACTCCAGGCTCGAGGCATCACTTTTTTTTTTTTATTGAGGCAAAGTGAAAGCCAGAACTTGACGAATTATGATTTAGTGTCTTCCAAATGCTAAGATTTGTCTTTTTTTTTTTTGGCAAAATAAAGCTTGTTTTAGGTTCATACAATTCAGTAGGAAGAAATATAATTGGCACCAATTACTGTTTTGTTCATTATATTTAAGATTATCTTCATTTATAGAAAATAAATAGTGGAATAAAATGTATTTTTCTATAGTAGGATATAGTTTGTTTTTAAAACAAATTTTAATAAAAAGAGTCCAATTTTAAGAAAAAATAAGATAACAGTGATACAGATGGTGAGAAAATAATAGAAAACCAGTGGGGGGAGAAGAATATACAGTAAATCAAAGTTTCAAAGCAGAGTGCTCAGGTATTATTGCTTAAATATTTTCAATTAATTATTTTTAATTCTATTAATTCAATTAATTTCATTCACAAAATAATTACAAACAATAATCATCAATTTTTAGTTTGCCTTAATACTTTTTTCATTCTTATCAAGTATGACAGATTGTCTTTTCCAAAGATTCCTGTATATATGTATGTATGTATATATATATATATATATATATACACATATATATATATATACATATGTAAGTATGCGAACATACTGTGTACATAAATTATTCACCCCCACACCCCCCCACACATATACTTTTCATTCAATGTGATTGGTATTACTTCCACTAATATTTGGAGCTGATGTATTCCTTGAATTTTGGCAGGGAATGTGAACATCCTGACCAATGGAGCACAGTGAAATTGAAGCTATGTGACTTCTCAGGCAAGTTTACAAAAATATCACAACTTTTTCTTGGCTCCATTTACTCTTAAACTCAACTGCCATACTGTGAGGAAGCCCAGGCCACATGAGGAAACCATATGGAGGGATTCTGGCCCAGCTACCAGCTAAGGTCTTATGAAAAGCACTAGCAACCATTAGATAAAAGAGGACAGAGTTTCAGATAATTCCAGTTATCAGGTAATTTCTACCTAATAATTCTACCTTCAGATTTTATCTAAGGTCTCAGATGCCATGAAGCAGAGACATGGCTGTTTGTATGTGCTCACTGATTCCTGACCCATGTTAGTAAACATTATAACTGTTTTATTCCACAAGGACTTGTAGTAATTTGTTATACAGCTCTAGTAACTATGGTATATGCTGGGTGAGGAGTAGCAATTGTCACTCTATGATCTCAGAGTGCCTTGTACTCAGTAGATACTGGGTGCATGTCAAAGAATACAGGAATGAGTCAATGAAACAGCACAATTTTTATTGTATCGGTGTTTACAGATCTGCCTCACTGCAGCATCAGTGAACTTCAGGTCACCTTCTGGCTAACGTTCTCTACAGTAGGTAGTGCCCACGTGGCTCTGAACCAACCAAATATGTGCTTTGTAGCTGTTAGGTGAGCCTGGGAAAAATGTCCCCTTTGCCCTTTACTCTCCCTCTGAGGCCCTGTCTAAGTCCCCGTTGAACACCTGTCACCCAAGTAACTGGCACACCTGGGGCCAGTGGGAGGTCCCCTAAGCTCTGAGGTCACTTCCTCTTCCTCTGAGGTCACATCCCCATCTGCCCAAGTCATGCCTGCTTTGGGTGGGGGAGGTTCTCAGGCTCTGAGGTCACTTCCACATCTGCCACAACCACACCTCCTCCCTGCCCTCTCCCTATGTAACTGTTCTCCCCTAAATTCCCCCGCTCCGCTTGCCTGTATCTCGTGTGGGTTGGGGTTTGGTTCTGCTGATAAACTCTCTTCAGGCTTGACCGCATGGAGATCTCCTTTCTCCAAACCTGAACAATGGCTCCTAACAAAATGTGGCTGCCTCCAATTGCACCTTGGTCTTTGGTGCTGCCAGCGATTTTCCTTCTAACTTCTTTATGAAGTTAAGAAAACATACTGATTGCTTTCCTAGTTTTGAGGAGCGGAAAATCTTGGACACAGAGGGTGGAAACGCATGCATTTTCGTGGCTGATGTTTAGTCTTGTTTTTCTTTATGTCACCATCCCTTCTGTTCCTTTGCATAATTAGGAAGGTAGAATTTAAAAATCTTTTAGGTAGAAATGCATTTACCTCCATGTTTTACAAGTCAGCATGAATGAACTGGGATCTTTGCTGCTCTGAAAACTTGCCTTCAGATTAGTTGAATGAGTTTTGAGCTGACACATCATTGCCCTGAAACTCCTGCAAGTTTCTTGCAAGTAAAGCTAATCACATTTTTTGAAGACTCCTATAAACCAGTCACGGAAAGTTGTAAATTATGAAGGCAAAGGCAGGAGGATGAAGTTGCTTATACATCAATATATTAAACTTCCTTCCTCCTGAAAGGTCATTCTTTACCTTGCTAATTTCCTCAGGGACAGAGGACTCTGCACCAAGACTAGCACATTCAACTGGGCTTCGGGTGGTAACTTATCTACATGTGCCAAATCTCCGTACCAGACCATGCATGCTTCTGCTATACATTTTCCTTTTGCTATAAACTTAGTGAATCTGAGGCTAACACTCAAGGAGCTGCCTTACTTTCCCTTCAGAGCATGTACTAAACAAGTAGTAATTTTGGATTACTTGCTTGGACAGTGATAAACTCAAAAGCTCAGGCCTGTATGCACTTAGAGAAATAGGCATATACGTAAACTGGAATAAATGAAATGGAGGATAAGAATTTGCACCATTAACAATCACTGTTTCATCTCTCTGTCTCTCACTTTCTGTCTGTCTTGTTGGCCTCTCTTTTTGTGCCAGTCCTGGGGCTTGAACTCAGGGCCTGACCACTGTCCCTGAGCTTTTATTTTTGCTCAGAGTTAGTGTTCTACCACTCGAGCCACAGTTCCACTTCCAGCTTTTTTGGTAGTTACTTGGAGATAAGAGCTGGCTTTAAAACATGATGCGTAGATCTCAGGCTCCTGAGTATCTAGGTTTACAAGGTAAGCCATTGGAGCCAAGATACTTAATGGCTTCTTAAGCAAGATGCCACACAAATCTTGCTCTTATGGATTAGTTGATTCTTGGCCTTGTCATTTGTTTGTTGCACAGTTACTTGTGAAGAGCCATAATGACTGACTCCTATCTGTTCTACTTTCTAGTTTCCTAGAGCCAATCTTCATTTATCCTATCTGCTCCTCTTTTCTTGTAGTACCTAGATAAACCTTCGTCATCCTTCCCATCCTCCTTCCCATCATCATTTCCCAAAGTTTGGAACTGAATACCATATCATGATAGCTTCAAGAGCTAACCTTCCCTTCCATGTCCAACTTAGAACAATAAAGAGAAGTGTATTTGAAGCACATCAGTGGGTTGAAGGTAGGAACTAGAGGTGTGGAGGTGTCACTTCCTTCTACTGGTCACTTTTCCTGGGCCTTTCAATTCATACTTTACACTAGGTGATCTTTTTTTTCTTTTTTAATATACTTTCAGATCTTTTTTTTTAAAATTTTCCCTGCACCCACTCCATAGTAGGGGTCTAAAACAAAATAATAATAGCTCACACAGCCAAGAGAAAGTATTTCACATTTCCTAGGAACAGTAAACTAATAAGAAAAAAAAACCCATCTTGCCCAAAGGCAAACATTAAAAAAACATTTACCCAGTTTTCTTTCCCCCTGTTCACGCCTACCACATCATTCCTGAGTTTACAACCCTGGAGACAATTTTGGTTTGTTTTGCTGCTCTCAAAGAGGCTGGAGGCAGTTTATTATCTTAACCCCTACGTTTTGTGACACCAAGCAAATTCTAGACATTTCCTAGCTGAATCAGGCCTGGGCTTTCTTGTAGAGAAAAATGAAATTGCATTTTAGATGCCTTTATTTTCTATTTTTC